TTAGTTTTTTTGATGTTGAGTTTCAGACCGTTTTTTGCACATATAGCACACATACATTCAAAATAAAAAGATTGCATGTCAACAGTCAACCTAAGCACCTGTGGCTTTCTAGGAGTTATACACTTCCCTGAATAATTAGATAGGTTCCTTTTTTCTAAATGAGAAAAAGGTAACTCTGCACACACAGATTTTGTGTGAATTACAGTTTTATTACTTGTGAAGCAGTAAAAGCAAGATCAGGTGACTGGTCCTTCTCTCCCTTTCATGCTTAGTTCTGAGATGCTCAGATGTTTGGAAATAATTTTTATGGCTGAGGAAACTTTCAAGACAGGGAGTTTGACAATGATTCCAGGAAAAGAAGCAATCTCTTTTTTTATTTAACAGAAAATAAAATGAATTGGCGGAAGAGAATAAAATGTAATGAAAAAGAGTTAGGACTTATCAGCTCATACCACATTTGATTTGAGGTTTATAGGTCCAGTAAAATTCAGTTTGCTATGGTGTACAGGAAGCTCAATACAAAATGATGTACCACTAATATTGTGACTCCAGCTAGGTTAAACAAAATGTTTGCCAAAGACAAATACAAGTTCTGGGAGCACTCAGCAAAACAATATTTCTCTGTGTTTTGAATTCTTATTTTCTACAGTTGAGTAAGCACACTTAAATTTACTGGTTCCAATTTCTGCTTGTTATTTCACAAACTACTTGAGTCTCTCAGGCAACTCTGAAATGGTCCCTCTGATTATCTTATTAACTGGAACAACAGTACAAATACTAGCTGCATAAGTCTGTAGTTCTGTTTGCAGTCTAGTAGGGTCCAGTTTAAGTATTAGAAGTGGCAACACAGAAAGAAATCTGTTGCATGAAAATTCTCAGTAATGTAATGCAACATTGCACTAGGAACTGCAATTTTATTATATAAACAGACTTTTGTATTTATTATTTATTAAACAAGAAAATGTTTTAAAGGAACAAACAAATGATGCAGCAAAACTAATGGTATCAACAGATGATAACTAGGTTTCAAGAAATACAAGAATCCGAAAAAATGTGGTCATGCATAATGGGCATGCTTACATTATGTTATAATAATTCTGTAGTATGTGATATAGATGGACTCTGCATTTCATTAAAGCCATTAGTTTCAATGAAAACAGGGTGGGTTTTTTTTTTTGCATTTCCAAGATTTGTTGTGTAAAGAAACATATGCCATGTCAAGCATTCACACCTTTGAGAGTTACCAGACATTTTAAGTACATCAATTTTGTAGCAAATAATACATACTTTAAAAAAACACAAATACCTAAAAGGTGCACAACTGAAAAAAAAAAACAAGCTTAAACAGCAGTATCAAAAACAAAACAAAACCATAAGTCCTGCAAGCAACACCATATAAAAACTGAGAAATGCAACAGAGGTGAAGCAGAGAGATTTTCATATCCCTGCCATGTGTCATAAACACATTATGAGACCTCAAAAGAGGCAAAAAATTATTTTTAGGGCCAGTTTTAAGTTATTTTGTACAGCATAGATTTCTCTGGTTATCTTCCGAATGATTTCAATAAATGCTCCAAGGAAGAACTGAGAGATTTGAAATGTGTTGGCTCTAACAATGATTTTTGTTGGAAGTTCAAGCTATGCTCTCTCTTCAGTCTTACACTATCTGCTCTGCTCTCTCTCCTCAGCTGAAATTATTCTGATCCGGAAATTCATATGCATGGTGGCCCAAGTAATTGCTATTGCTGATTTTAGACAGCACTAATTAAGTATTTATTTAGTCCCAAGCAGGGTAAGTGTCAGTACTATCATTGGCAGCACTCAAGATCGGCCAACTGATAATTAGTATTGTAGCCATATACTGATCACTAATTAACTATCAGGGGAAGGACTCAGGCAGTGCTGCACATACATGTGGGCCCTAAATCAGAAAAGGCATCTGATTGCAAAAATTTGCTTGATTATTTGCACGGCTCTCACTCAATTAGACCACTATTCTCTATACATCCCGCAGATGTCATCACTGTCCAAATCTGGTTAAAAAAAAATCCTATGGGAAAGGTGCATTGGTAAATATTTTATAAACATTTAAAGAAACTGACATATTTATCTCACATGGTCATCACTATAATCTACAGAGCCTTGGGAGCCAACTACAAGTAGCATAGCTACTTCAGAGCTTGTTTTCAGATCTTGTAATTTTCTTGAGATATTTTCAACTTGGGCAGCCTTGTTTTTCTTTATTCTCTTCCTACTGCAACAGAGAACCATTTTTTTTCAGGATGCTACACTTAAAATATGTGATTCCTATGGTTACATTTTGTTTCAAAAGCTTTTCCAAATTGCTTTGCTGCTTAAGGAACTTCTATCTGTTTTTCACATTTCTGTTTATATTAACTTATATTTACGAAGAGAGACCAAAGCACAAAATATTTCAGGAGTTGCTAGTTAAAACTAGAAGCAACAATTGAGTAATAACATGTGTCATTCTGTCTTCTGCCAAATGTTGTTGTTGTTTAGTCGTTTAGTCGTGTCCGACTCTTCGTGACCCCATGGACCAGAGAACGCCAGGCCCTCCTGTCTTCCACTGCCTCCCAGAGTTGACTCAAATTCGTGTTGGTAGCTTTGATGACACTGTCCAACCATCTCATCCTCTGTCGTCCCCTTCTCCTCTTGCCTTCACACTTTCCCAACATCAGGGTCTGCTGCAAAACACTGATGCCTCAATGTACAGTATTTACCACAGGAACTGCCAACACAGAGCTTAGAACCTGAAGCCTATGAAATACCTTTTCCCATGCAGCAAGTATAGACCTGTGCAGCCACAATGCTCAGCAATTTCAAAATATCCATGCCAAAAAACCATAATGTTGATAATAATATAAAATCCTTTCAAAGAAAGAGAGGCAGGAGTAGCTGCTCCAGCTGAAATGTTGGGGAAAGGCAGTGAAAAGCTGGAGAAGGCCACAGAGAAAACCCAAACCCAAAACTCACATCCCAAAACAACTGTATTGCCACTCCCTTTAGAATATGGAGTTGCTTTCTGTGCTCAACGTATAGAGCAGCTAAGCAGATATAGTCCTTCAAATATCCTGGGCATAGTTATTCAAGGCTTTACATGCAACAAACAACACTTGGTATTGTGTTCATGAAACTAGTGTCAACTACCGCAAAAAAGCAGCACCTGTAATTATACGTTCTTAGGATGATCATTCATCAATACTATCACTGCCATATTCTAGATCAGCTGAGGTTTATATAATGTTTCATATATGACCTTATATAAGATGTATTGTAAAAATCCAATCAGCAGAGACAGTACAAATGAACATGCTTGGACACTGGCTGTATCCAATGTACATGCCAAATATACATTAAAAGCTCCAAATAACTAAGCAAACAATAATTATGATGGTAGTAATAATTAAGATGATTTATAAGAGTTATTTCCATTTACGGCAACTCTACTAGGGCTTTCTAGATATAAAACAGCCAGAAGTTGTTCACCAGTCC